GAGAGAGAGAGAGAGAGAGAGAGAGAGAGAGAGAGAGAGAGAGGGGGGCAAGTGCGTGGGGGTAAGGAATATAACGGAAAGGCAGGGCCAAAGGGAGGGGATTACTGGAATACAAGGGGTGAGTAGTACCAGAGAGTATTTAATTATATTTTAGTGTCTCTGGTAGTACGCACAGAATTCTACACTTAGGTGTAGAATTCTGTGGTAGTACGTTACATTGTAAATTTAAGGTCCTTAAAATGAGGCTAGTCGATGTTAAGGGCAGTGACAATTTTGTGAGACGCCAATTTAAGTTCCAAATCCACATTGATTCTCTTTGGTTGAGTTTTTCTTTAGTTGGATATTGGACTATTTCAATACCCTGAAGCTGCAAATCGGAGGCTCCATTGTGATCAGGACTGTTGAAACGTTGGCCAACCGGTGCGCATGAGTTTTTCTGGACTGAATACCTGTTATTAAACCTAGCTCCTAGTGTGGTGGTAGTTTGACCTACATATTGAGCTGGACAGACTTTACAAGATATGCTGATGATGATCAGTATATAATAATAGTAGTAGTAGTAGTAATAATAATAATAATAATAATAATAATAATAATAATAATAATAATAATATATAATAATAATAATTATTATTGAAACTCTGTATCCCACCCCTAAGTCTTAGAGCCCGTTTTTTATTCCGCAATTGCTTGGTTGCTCTGAAATGACAACTCTAAACTTTAAAGGGCGCCGTGCTACAAACTGTCAGCATGTTCTACTGTAAGAGGAATGTTTAAGTAGTGAAAAATATGCTTACAAATGCCTAACTTTGAAGGCAATCTTTGACCTTGACCTTGACCATGGGTTCAGATGGAGTAGTCATGAATCTAGATCTACACAAGGTGTCTATGACTATGAAGTCGGATAGAGAAAAAAGGCCGCTGAAATGGCCATTGTCAAACAACGTGACCTCACACAATGCACACATCGGAGAATGTCAGCATTCAATGAGCATGCACATAATCCCTTACAACGTTCAGCCAGACGAATCATGAACATCTCCTTCGCAGCAATACTAGCATGGCCTCAAGCTGGGCTTGCTGCATATTGTCACTTTGGCGGCTTCAGTTTCAGAGCCATACAAACTATAAAATAATAATATATAACATTTTTATGTTTACCTGTAACTTATTCTTCTCTCCAGTTCAGAGAACGTTTCATCAAGAACATTCTCAATGAGACACTGAAAACAGTGTTCCAGACCTCTGTATACACCTTTTTAGTCTGCGTCGGTAGACTGGTAAACTCTAGGGATGGTGCCCCCCCCCCCCCCCCCCCCCAACAGCAATGCTGCCTATGAAAGAATTTTTCCTTATGGTCAGGAAAAAAATAGGACAAACTATAGGGGCAATATGAACTACAACGCCCTTCAAAGCCTAATATGGTAATTAAACAGGAAGGAGGCAAGTGTTATGAGAAAGAATTGTCACCGGACCTTCTCAAAAGGTGAAGGCTGCCATTGTCAAGCAGCTTTCAACTGAAAGTTATGAATTCTTGTCAATAATGTATATAGAACCTTCATCAAGTTATTGGGTCTATATACTTCGTGACTTTGTTCCTGGTTACCGGGTCTGTACTATACACATCGTTTCTCTAAACAAAGAGACATTGATCTGAATCACACTAAAACAGATATTGATACCCCAGGACAAACAGACAACGATCAAAGAAGAGAGAGAGAGAGAGAAAAGGATAAACTATAATTCTTTCTGATATTTTTGTCTGTGGTCTTGTTATTTCTCGAGGAGCGACCATCTTCATAATCAGAAACTCCTTAGCCTCAATAAACAAGACAGCCAGTATTAGTAGCAAATGAACGAATATAGAGAACAATTCAGCCATATCGAAGCCGTCCGGGCGTGGAACGTCGCAGATAGAAACTATTGATCATCATTACAATTATAAGCTAGTCTTGACATAGGTAATGCATTGTGCGCTGGCCTATTGAATCAAATGCTAGACTCTACACAGCAACACACAGGCGAGGATTTGAATGAATCGGTCTTCTTTTGCACAGCTCATAACATGCAGGCATTTCAGGCACCACTTGTTACTTCCCTTTATTCATTACTCGCTCAGGGCCTGTAATTATCTACACAAAAACCCCATATTTTCTATAACGAACACTCGGATTCAATGAGATTTTAGGTCAGGCCCGGCCACCTTGTTGAATCGGAATTCCACTGTACCATGCATCCACTAAACAATCTCAACTATAAATACTGCATTCATGACAGTTGTTTAATTAAAATGTCACCTTTCATCAATTTAAAAAAAGAACAGTTCAAGCTATCACGGTGTGCCAGGTCAAGATTTGTCAGGAAAAACGTCTGCCTCTGATGGGAGTTTCCCTTGCCGAGGATTGCCTTTTCCCGGTAATCGTAAATTTGAAGCAAGTCCTTCCGAAGATGATAACTGTTCTTTCACAATTTTTGCCATGTTCTTGTTCTCCTTGTACATCTCTTGCGGTATGTGAATCTGAAGAACTTTAAAGTGACTGAGAACGTTTTGCACTTCAGCCTCATCTAATCTGAAGTCCCGGGCAATGCTGCTTGAGGTTGCAATGTCTGGGTTCAGCTGATGTTTGCTCAGGAACTCCAGGACAGATTTGAGATCAGCACGACCTTCAGGTACTTCATATTCAATGTCCATTGCACCAAGGTCAGACTCAAACTTGGTTTCACGAGATAGAGGCAATGGTTTCTGTGCTGACCTGATCTGAAAGGGAAAAAAAATCCTGTTATTTAGAAGTCACATGTCTTTGAAATATGTCAAAATTTTACTTTGAGTATGCTGTCCACCAGTCACAACTTTTTAAAAGAAAGAATTGTAATTAAAATTTTTTACCTTGTCACTTTCAATCATGTAAATATCACTTCTGATAGGACCTATGCTCTATCATTTATTAGATAACGATTTTGAGAAACATAAAGAGTCATCTGATTAGTTAAGCACTTGACACATTACAGCGGTGTCCAAAAGAAACTTGAAAATGTAATCACCCAATCACTGTGCTAAAGCTGTGCATTAGCCACTCATATGCAGCATACTAATTTAAAGTGTAATAAATTCTGCATCATCTGACACAATAATAGCTCATCTACGTTAAGAGACGCCCGAGATATGGTCACTCAAAATTAAATTGACCTTAAAAAACCAGTCTTGGCAAAATTGTGCGAAATCCAAGAAACGTAAAATTGTCTTCGCGCTCGTATGACGAGCTTCAAAATACATATAAATGGACATGCATAGCATTATATCCGATGAATGGAGAAGTTTGTCTCTGCAATAAATAATAGAGTATTATTATATTTTGTCACAATAGTTTCAAACCAAACAAAAAACAGAGCAATCACAAATACCACACAAAATTTGGACTTCACATTCAATTTGCTCATTGTTATTTTGCTTAGGAGCCATTGGTTTCATGTAGTGCACGAACGCTTTGGGCATGGACTCAATTAAGTTTTTGACATAATTATTCGTCATTTCATCCCAAATGTCACAGAGAGTTGCAAACAAAGTCAAAGGGTCTAAATAAGGAGCAAAGTCACTTTTCTTCAGCTGTTTCGTGGAACTTTACATATCAGTAGGACTCATATCGGGGCTATTTACTGGTGACCACCCCGTTGTTGATTTAATGTGGTTTCCAAGAATTGTCTAGTGGCAAAAGCCCTGTGAGAAAATGCTTTGTTATGCATGGAGATGTCTACTACGCTGGGGCCCTTTTTCGGTGCTAAATCTAAAAAAGACAAAAACATCATTAAATGGGTCATAAAATCTAAACTAGCAAACCTATTTTGATAGTTCTTAATCTAATGAATGAACTTCCGCTATAAGAGACCTGTTTTCGACAATCACCCCCAAAAAAATTCGATTTCGAAGTCATCGTAAGGAATGTGCCTGTCAACCGCTCATCGGCATAGTGGTTCCGACCGCGAGCCGTGGGAGCGGCTTGCCGGAGATAAAGAGTTAACATAGATGAAATATCAATAAGTCAGATAATGCATGGTTTAATTAGCTTTAAATTGGTATGCTGCATGAGCGGGTAGTACAAGGCTGTAACACAATGACTGGGTGATTACATTTTCAGTTTCTTTCGGACGCCATTATTTAAATCAGGGGCATTTCATCCCTGCTAACTTAGTTCCAAAAAACGTGCTATATTCTAACTAAGACTTCATGCTCTGATCAGAAATGACAGTGCGCTGCTCTGAAAGAGGCTGACACTGGAGAATGTCACTGGCTGAATCTGGCTTTTTCTATTTTTTCTTACACATATCACAACATTCAAGTGACAACAGGTGCTCTGTTAGCTCAGTTGGTATCATTTATACTGGACTACAGAGTGGATCGCCCTGGTTCAAATCCCAGACTGAACGTTCTTGACATTTTGTTGAGATTTTAAGGCTCTCAACTCTCAGCCCATTTGGTTTGGTGGGTCCTTTTGCATACAGACGTTAAATGCGGAGGTCCTGCCACTTAAATATCCTAATGCTAATAATAGTGTTGGTTGGGGCATTTAAAGCCACAGTATAAATACACTATGACACACCATCAGTTGAATTATAAATTTACTGACTGCCAGAGGTTAAAACCTCAATTTAACCTCGTTACCATATTTCAAAGGTGTTTTTTTTTTTTTAGAGCATTCATTGTCAAGATAAGTTTTCAAAGTAAACACTTAACATTTTCACAATTTACCATTTTTATATATTGTTTTTTGTAATGGAGAGAAAACATGTTTAATAGGTCTCACACTTTTGTTTGTATGATTATTAGAAATATAGACAAAAATAAACTCAGAATTACTTGAGCCACTGGTAGAGGAGTGTGTGAAGCAACCTTAGCAACCCCAAAGGCATGTTTTTTACCCTTCTGAACAGAATTATTCGGATCTAAATATTCTAAGTCACTTTTGTGACTAACTGGTATGCTCTATTCAAAATCAGAAACCATAAAAACAAACAGCTTTTTCATTTAATTATTAATTTAAAGGCTGGACAATGTGCAAGTTCAAAAACCTAAAATCGTGAAACGCTGTGAGACAGATCTAAAAAAACAAAAAACAATGTAACATGTAACTCACCTCTCAAGAGCTACACTAATGGAACAAATGATGTAACTACCAAATGAAACAGACATCATATAATATGTCTTCCCTTTCCCCAACTGCCGAGACCATGTCTCAGGCAATGAGACACTGTAAAAACAGTGGAGAAATTGAAACCAACAGGGGTGTGGGTTCAGCGTTTCTCACATATATATATATATATGCAGTCGAACCTGTGTAAGATGGAATCGCAAGGGAGCGAGAAAAAAATTCCGTTTTAGACATTTTCCGTCTTAGACAGGGGAATTTAGGGGGAGATGGAAAGGGTGAG